CCAAACGCCGAACCTTTTGCTGCGTTTGCTTACTAACAGATAGCCAAAGGCTATGCGCTGTAGGTAGCCCGCGAAAGACGCAGCGACCGGTGCTTTACAATCGTCTGTGCAGCTTCCTTCCGCCTGTTCCAGCAGAAACGCTTTAAACCTAGCAAGCGAGCACGCGAAGTCGCGAAGAAGCTTCAGCTGTTGCTTCGTTACGAGCGGGAGACCTAGCGACACCAACGCCTTAAATACCGGGCTCGTTCTAAGCAAGTCGAGCACAGCCATCTGCACCGAAGCAATGCCGCTGCTCAACAAACGGCCAAAAGCCAATTCTACAATGTGGCGCAGCATTGACAGCGCCGCGCCCAGTCGCGGATCAGTAGCGAGGAACTTTCCCAGCGCAGTCAGAACTGCCTCCGTCAACGGCACGCGCTGCGCACTCAAGTTTTCACAACGCATTTCCGGCTTTTTCCAGTCGCTGTCGAGTTGCGGTCCGAATGCTTTTTCGAAATCCGCCAAGTTTCCATTCCAAACGTACTCCAACAACCCTTCAAAACAAACAACAACGCGCTCAAATAAACGCGTCTGCTGAGCCTGCGCCAGCTCAAACTTTAACTCCTGCCGGAACGCGGCGATCAGAAGGTTGCCGAGCGTCTTGACGTAGTTTACCACAAGCGTCTTCGGGCGAGCCTTGTACAGCTCGCCGCTGAACGCCCCAAAATAACAGCTAGGCACTGCGTGCCGCGTAGCAGCAGCGCCCGCGTCCAACGAGGTTAACAGCGTTGGCCCGACCAAATCGCCGCCACGGAGCGCGAGTCGCTGAGCTTCGCAAAAGTCGCGTTCCATTACGTCAAGCGTGAAATGCTTAAAGCGCGTCGCGGCGCGGCGTTGCTGCCCCAGCTCCAACCGACCTTCTTCCCGCTCTGCAAACAAGGCCAACATTGCCGCCGCGAGATCGCGCAGCAAGGTGTCGACAAAGCACACGGCTAGCCCAAAGTCAGAATCGGCCATCGCATCAGCGAACTGATGCACCAACGGCTGGAAAGCGACTTTCAGCAATCGCGAGGCAAAGTTCGAGAACACGACGGCCGCCAAATGCTCTGCGCGTGCAAAATATGGCGTCTCTGCAGTATCGCATTCAACTTCTACGCGGATTCGTGAGGCCAGACGCACCAACTCTTTGCTCAAATGACTCACGCCTGGAACTGATTCTAAAGACAGCGGAACCGCCGCCATCTCCTCGATACACACCAGCATGGCGCACAACTGGCTCTGTGCGTCTGCCTGCGAAGCTTCTCGTCTACAGCGTTTTCGGTCGGCAAGCTGCGGGCTGCGCGAGTCTCCAGACAGCAACATCGCCAACCACTCGGCGCCCTTCTGCGCTGCGCGCTCACAGGTTGAACTAATAGCACTCAAACACAAGGCGTACAAATAAGACCTAGTGCATGTGTCCCGCTGCGCTGCGGTAATAACTAGCTCAGCGGCGTTGCCTGAGCAAACTAAGCATAGCAACAAGTAGTTGACAGCGTAACACTCAGGCGTCAACAATGAGTACGCGAAAGGGTCCGTTACATACGCAAGTTCCGGCATAAACGCGATGAGTCGATCGAACGGCAAAGCGCGAAAGTCGAGCCTTTGCTTCAATAATGTCAAAAGGTAAGCTCGCTCGACGGCCGCGAGGCTAACGAACGCCGCGCTGCTCTTCGCAAAATCTGCAGCACTCAGAACTGCGTAGTATGAAACATCCGCAACTTTTAGCGCATCGCAGAGTGCAGCGCCAGCAGTGTCGCGCTGAGGCAATGCGGAGAGCAGCGAAAGCGCCGTTTGCGGAGTGCCAGAGTCACACAATCTACTCCACTCCGCGCTGCCGCAGAACGCAGCAACAGTCTCTATTAGTACGCCCGCCAGCGCACCCGCTGCGCGGCTTGTGCCCGAAAACAAAGGCCGCAGCATGCACTGTGCTTCAACGCCACAGCTGCTCACGCTAACCGAGTGCAAGCGGTTAACGGAAGCAATCAAAGTATCTGTCTGCGTAAAGCCAAGACGAATGTTTCCAAGCCGTTTGAGGAGGGCCAGATAAGAGTCTTCAGGCAACACTTCGAGAAACCTAACAAGAAGTGCAGTAGCAGCAGCAGCGGAAGATTCCAGCACAAAGCTGAGCTGCGTCGCAATGCAGCCCACTAAGTCAGCAGCAGCGTCATCGCTCGCTTCGCAAGCTCGAAGCCAGTTCGCTGACCTCGGATGAAAGTCAGGACTAGCTAAGTTCGCGGCAAACATAATTGCACTTGCTTGATCACAAGCGTCTTCCACAACTCTTATCCAGTCCCGAGCGCGGTTCTGAGAGAGATAAGCGTTTCTGAGCTGCAGTAGCACGTAATAGGAGCAATTGCGCAGAGCATCGTCTGTCTCGGAACCGCCGGCGTCGAAGGAAACGAGTCTGCATAGCACGCGGACCACGCAGTGGCATCGCTCGTCAATAATCACAGATCCAGACGTGAAGCACACACTTCCGAACACTATAGCGAAAACCTCGGCGAAATACTGCGCCACACGCTGCCAATCTTCTTCTAAAACACTGCTGCTGGAGCCATCAGCGACGGCAGCATCGCGACGAATCGCCGCCATGATTTCGGAGAAAAAGTGCACGTGCCTCGCCAGCACCGCCTCGTCGTCCGCGGCCGAGCGCAGCGCAAAGGCCAAAGCATCGGCGACGAAGGCGCGCAAGTAGCTTTGCCTCGCCACCGCGAGGCCCAGCAGCACGCTCTTCATCAAAGCTTTCTCAACGAAAATTAGTTCACGTAGTTCGTAAAACAGCTGACTCAGAGCAACGAAGTGCGACTCTAGCTCCTGCGCCATCGCCACTGCGCGCAACTGCAGCGAAGCGCTGTACACGAACGCCGCCATAGCGTTCCTGTCAAGCTGCTGGCGCAGATCCACGACCAAACAAGTCGCGAGATTCAAGCAAGGCACTAATACGTCCGGGCAGTGCACGTACGCTTGAAGCGTTTCGAAAAGGCGCGACTGCCCGGCCAGCAAAACCACGAGGTTCTCGCAAAGCGGCTGCACTTCTTCGAAAAACCGGCCAGCTTCTCCTGAGCGCAACGAGTCTGCGCCCCGCTTCACGAAGGACCCACAATGGCAACGCTGCAAGTCGTCGACGAGTTTTACTTCGCCGGTGCTCTCATCGTATAAGTAGTAGTTGTCTAAAGTAGAGACGAGTGGGTTGATTTGGACCTGTCGAATGACGTCGTAGAACTTCGGAAATTTAAAGTGGCCCATTTGCGCGTCCTACGCGTCTGGCGCTAGTATCGAGCAAGCAGGTTACGCGGCAGCGGGTTGCGAAGATTGCTTCCGGTGCTTCTTGCTTTGCGAAATCTTTTTTTCTAGATAATTTTCGTTCAATCGCTGTCGAGCGGTGTGGCTGCTCGCCAACTTCTGCTTGAGCAACGTCGCCCTTAAGTGCTTATTCCCCGTAATGTCTGCCCATTTCATGCCGCGCAAATATCGCAAACTCCAAACGGCGCAGTTGTGTGCGGAGGCCTTCGAGCCGATCTGCACAGGTTCCCCATTAAAAAGCAAGCAAACCTTCTTCGCATCCGATTTGCTTTCAAACAAAATCCAGCCCTCCAGGAGGGCTCCGAGCTTCGTCCTGGCTTTGTCGCTGCGCTTTTCCAGCGGCTCGAAATAAAGCTTGATAATTTTACCGTGCGCTGCGAAAAACGTTTCTAGCTCGCTGATGGTAACGCCCTTCGGCAAGTTGCTTACATAGATCAATCCTGTCATGCGTTCGCGCGCAGCACGCAGCGCCTCGAGAGTAGCTAGCGAGCAAAATATAAATGCGTAAATTCAGGCAGACTATATCGCTGAACCTCCGGCGCTGCTCTTCTCGTGGTAATGTAGACTCAAGTCGCGCTTTAGCTTTTTGCGCAGCGATTTGCAGTACACAATTTTACGGAAGTGCACGCGCAAGTCTGGCATCCGTGACGTACACTTTCCGCAGTAGTTGCACATAAAGCCCTTTGACATCTTGGAAAAGCAGAAGTGGTCGCCGGGCTGGCAGTCGGAAACGAGCTGGTTGCAAACGAAGCAGAACCACTCTCCGGAACTGTAGCCCTTTATGTTCAACTTCAGGCTGTGACGCTCTTCGGCAGCCAACTGGCTTTCAAGCCACGAATACTTTATCTTTGAAAGTTTCTGGTCGCTGCTAAGCGGGCTGTCTAAATCTTCCGTAAGGCAGCAGCGCGCGCCGCACTGAATCATTGCATTCGTGTCTTCATCCACGCTCAAGCGGAGGTCGCGCAGGTCGTTGTTCGCGCAGCTCTGCGCTGCTTTCCGCTCAGCCTCCGAGGTCGCACCGCCTAGATCTGCGCCGAACGCGTCCGCTGTGCCGGGATCGCCAGCTGGCACGAAGCTGGACACTTTGGCTATGTCATCTCGGTTTTCGGTCAGTCGGCTGATCACGTCGTCGACGCTCAGCGCGCCGATCTTTTGCTCCAAACTCGATTCAATGTGCTGATACTCCTGCGCGATCAACTGTTTGACAAACAGGTCGACGCTGGATATCAAATCTTTAGTACGCTCCTTCGGCCCGCTGTTGAAAACAGTGCTGCATTTACGCCGCCAAAAACTTACACACCGTTGCTAGCCGTGTTTCTTTGAACCACGTTTGACAACTCTGCCAGCAACAGCGAAAACAAACTGTTTCGCACGACTTCTCCATGCTTCAAGTTCTTCTTCAGCTCAAAAATTTCCTCCTCCAGCTTGCGGATTCTCACAAGCTGATTTACTTCAACCATCAGTTGCTTTGCGCAAGACACACGCGTGTGCTCAAATATAGAAAACCGCAAGTGAGCTCAGTCGCGCTTCAAGTCGACGCAAATACAAGTCAGGTCGTCCACCACTTCGTCGTTCGCCATCCACTTCAGCCAAGACTCCGACGTCAAGTGATCTGCAATTTTCGCAGCACAAAAGCTGCTGGCGGAGACCTGTGCGGACAACGTGCTGGCGAGCTCTACGCAATTTTGTGAGCTCAAAAATTCCCAAATGCCATCTGAAGCAAGGATCAGAAACTCGTCGTCGGCGTCAAGTTCGTAGTGCGAGATGTCAGGTTTGTAAGTGACGCCAATCGCTTGGGCGACGATGTCGCCGATCGCGCGGGTCATGCCGAGACCGGGATATTTTCGGTTTTTCAAGAAAACGCGCGGGAACTCTTCTGACGGCAAACACTTCACGACACCGCCAAGCTCTTCGATGCGCAGCCGTTCCGCCGCCACGTCTGGACGATGGTCCTTCGTCAGCTCTACAGCGACGACCTTGTCCTTCACGCGGCGGCCGACGACGGCGCGGCAATCGCCGGTGTGCGCGACGCACAACGAGGCGCCAACCATTACGACAAGCAAAACAGCGCAGCCACTCAGCCGCGCATCGAAGCCCGTGTCGATGCGGTCAGATACTTCTTCAACAAGGTGCTGCATTTCGTAGAAAGCCATCGCGAGCGCTTGCTCAACGCGTTTGGTCGAGGCCAAGTGCTGGATGAGCAGCAGCGGGAGCGTCTGTTGCACGTACTGACTGATTTGGTGTCCGAATTTGCCGTGTCCGTCGAACACGCCGAAGAGAGTGAGCTCTTTCGAAACCAAAAACATCAGATCGTCTTGGTTGGGGTCGTCGAACTTCAAGCCGCGCTTTGACGAGAAACTGATGCCGTGACTCTCGCACAGTTCGCTGGGGTTCGCAGCAGCGCGCGTGTAGGCGCCAGTGGCGTGCAGCTTCAGCGAATTGTCCACAAAGGTCTTAAACACCTGACCGACGGCGTTGCCGTAAACTCTGAAAAATTCGACGTCGCCGAGCGCGTCGACGTATTGCTGCTCCTGCACCTGCAGCTCGTGAGCACGCGGCGAGTACGCAGTCTGTTCACGCGAAGCGAGAGCGCTGCCGCTTGACTTGCACAACGCCTTTACGTCCTCGGCGGTGTTGCTCATAATCTCCTCGCTGCAAACCGTGAGCCGCCGCCGCCGTTTCTTGATGCGCGGCGCGGCAACGGACTTCGCGACGGGTGTGAGCAAGTTCTCGTTGATGCTCACAACCTCGATGACGCTGCGTCGCTGTCGCAGCAGCGGGCTAGCTACAGAGTCGCAACGCGTGCAAGTGTCGGGCTCGAGCGGCAGCGCGTGCGATTTGGCGCTCGACGCGTAGAGACAGGAGGGTGGCGCGACGCTCGCGGGAAAATTGTCGTAGCTGGGCCCCGTGCTAGAGGCGCAATAGTTGCAGCAGGTGAAGTTGCCCGTAGAGAAGTTCGCGGGTCGCGCGTTTTCGGCGAAGCCGCTGCCGTCGGCAGCCGCTCTCAGTTTGTCTTCTTTCGCGAACATCGGAAAGAGCTGGATTGAGTTGTCGTCAGAGTCGGAGGCGCCGTGGCAGCAGGTGAGCTGTCCGGGACGCGCCTCGTCGCTGCTCTCGAGCTTAGCGCTGGCCAAGTTCGTGCTGCCCTTCATGCTGTGCGTGCTAATGCGCGTAGCGTAAAGCGGAAGCGCCGCCCATGATTCAGCACGGGGAGAATATTTATTTTCGATTTCAACCAGTCGTAAAAAGTTAATGATGAAAATCCGGCCCGAGCTGGCTGCTGCGGTTTACATTTTTTTGAAAGAGCTCGGCTGCGATAAGACTGCGAAGCGCTTCAAGAAGGAACGCGGACTGAACAAATCGCTGATTTCGGGCTGCTCGCTCGACCTTTCGCGGTTGTTCACCGTGCTCGACGACGCACTGGGCGGCACATTGTCAACGGCTGAGGAGTCGGCCGCGCCTAGTTTCGCCGCACTCGACGCGTCGCAGCGCGTGAGCGCCGCACCGCTGTGCCGCATTGACGCGGCGTACGCGGCCGCGGCGCCGGAACGCAGTGTGCTGAAAAATTCCAAAAAGTGTGTAGGCGCGCAACTACGGTCGCCGGCGGAAATGCTAGGCAAGCGCGGCCGCGAGTTCACAAAGGCGAAGAACAAAAAAAAGAAGGGCACGCTGAACCTGAACCAAGTGTCTAACCGCAGCCATCAGGTGTTCTTCTCGGAATCAGACTCCAACTGAGCTCCACGAGTTTGCGTCTGTGCGATCGAGAGCGACGATCGTTTCCGTGCGAGAATTTAAATTTGTTGTTTGATGAAGTTAGCGGCGGCAATTTTAGTAGCAACCGTGGTTGCCGCACAGAAAGGCGAAAAGCCGGAAAAGTCCGAGACGGCCGCCGGCGATACGAAGGAAGCAAAGCGCGGCCTGCAGCGGAAACTGCGCAAAGACGAGGGGAACCGCGCAGAAGGCCAGTCGCCGCGTGCAGCGCGTCGGCTGGACGAGCGAAACGGCTTTGGATTCGGGTCGCTGGGCGTAGCGTCGCCAATGGAGTTCCGCATTGACTCGGTGTTCGACGGTCTGCGCAACCTGATTGTTCAGCCTATTAACGAAGGACTGAACCGGCTCGGATTGCTGCCAACAAGCGCGCTGGCAGAGCTGCCCGAGCTGGTTGGGTTCACGCCGCTGCTGCGGAGAAGCAGCCTCAACTTTGGCGGCGCGAAATCTGATCCGGAAGTGCAGTTAATGTATCCACATGTGTACACGAGTAGCGTGTTGCCCTGGATCGCGGCGGACTAATGCGCGCAGCGGCGCGGGCGCTATGGGTGCTCCACTACGACGCCGGCCAGCGTAGGCTGGTAGCGCGAGGGGCGGAAGTTCTCGATATAGGGGAAGACGCCGCCGACGATGCGACCGACTTCGGGCTCGTGGTGCAACAACATCTAACGGTTGCAGAACTTCAGAATGTTCGCAGACTTGCACCAGCACTCGTCGAAACCGTGGTAGGTGCTCATGGCCCAGCTCATGTACATCATCGCGGCACAGTCTTCGTTCTCGGGCGGGCAGCCAGTGTTCTCAGGCGCGAAGAGTCCGGCGCGCGCAGACTGGCGCATGCGCTCCTTGGCAATCTCGTGCGTTTCGCGCGAGAAAAGCTGGCTGTAGCCACGACCGAAGATGTGGTCGACAATGAACGCGGCAGTGCGGTCGTGCAGGCGCGCGTTGTTGTTTTCCGAACAGGAACCGTCACTGATGAGTCCGCCGGGCACAATGCGTGAGCTTTCTTCGAAATCGAAATAGTACGGGCACTGTTGAAACTCCACGGGGAAAGAAGTCGTGGTGGTTTCGATCATGAGGTTACGAATGCGCGGAATGTCGCGGAGCACGAAGAGCGTGGCGTGGTTGTTGCGCATCGCGTGCACGAGCTCGAGGTTGTCAGGCACGCCGTCGCGGTTGGAGTCAAGGATGTGCGCATAGGTGGAGGCCAAGTGCAGCAGCTGGTGGTCGTCGACGCTGTCGTCAACAACGACGCGCAGCCCGAAGACGGAGGCGTAGCGAGTGAGCCCGGCGCGATAGAAGACGCTGGATTCAGGAAGTCGCGCGGGGTAGAGGTAGACGCGCGAAACGTCGGACTGCTCGTAGAAGGCGTCGTGCGGGAAGTAGGAAACGTCGCAAGAGAAGTTGCGGTAGCCAGGCGCCTCTTCATAGTCGTAGTAGCCGAGGCCCTGCTGCTGGTTCTTCTCGGAGTTGGTCGTAGCATTCTCCGAGGGCGTAGCGGCGGCCTGCGCGGCGTCCGACTGCACGTCCTGAGTCGCTAGAGCCAAAGAGCACGCGAAAGTCAACGCTGTCGAAATCTTCATCTACTTTTCAAACTTATTTGGAAAACTCGCTGGAGTGTGTGTCACATTGGCGACGGTTTTTCCGGGCGCGGCAAACGACCCAAGCGAATTCTGCAATTTTAATTTAGAAATGACGTCCGCGCCCCTCGCTCGCACGGCTGTGCAGAGCGTGAACGCGTTTCTGAAGGTTTTCACGGCAGCGCTGCCGCCCGCGGCGCCGGGTGCTGCTGAAAGTGCGGCGTTGCTCGCGGCGCCGCTAGAGCTCGCGCAACTGGAGCGCTTCGACGCGCTGCTGGCGGACGTAGTCGCCGCTCTGCCCGCGGAGGCGCGCAGCAGGCCGCTGCTCGCGGCTTGGCGCGCGGCAGGCTTCGTTGCCTCGCCGGAGCTGCGCGAGCAGATTTTCGGCGCGTTCGCGGCGGCGTCGCCCGCGGGCGACGCGCCGCTCGCGCGTTCGGCGGAGAACGCGACGCTGTTTGGGTTGGCGGCGGTCTGGCTGGACGCGAGTTCGAACGCGGACAAGGCCGCGGGCAAGCCGGTGACTGCGTTCTACCGCGCGGCGAAGGTCGCGTTCGCGCCTGCGAAGCCCGTGCCCGCAGCGGCGCCCGCGAAGGACGCGTGCGACCCCACGCGCTGGCAGCTGGTGGTGGGCCGCGTGACGAAGGTGACCGCGCACCCAGACAGCGAGAAGCTGTGGTGCGAGGAGATCGACGTCGGCGAAGCCGCCCCGCGACAGATCGGATCGGGGCTGCGGCAGTTCGTCGCGCGCGAGGAGTTCGAAGGCCAGCTGGTCGTGGTGCTGGCGAACCTCAAACCGAAGCAGCTGAGCGGTTTCCTGAGCCACGGCATGATTCTGTGCGCGTCGAACGCAGACCACTCTGCGGTCGAGTTGCTGCAGGTGCCTCCGGGCGCGGCGCCCGGCGACGTGGTGCGGTTCGGCGCGCTGACGGGGCAGCCAGACGCGGTGCTCAGCATGAAAAAGAAGGACAATGCGCTGGAAGCGGTGCTGGAGCACTTGCACACGGACGCTGCGCGCGTCGTGATGTTCAAGGAGCACGTAATGACGGTGCGCGGCTTGCCGATCACGAGCCGTTCGCTGGCGAACGCGCAGGTCAGCTAGCTGCTGCGATTTTTTGTTTTTGAGTTGAAAAAAAAATCTGTAGCGAATATTATTAGATTATCCACTAAGATGACATAATGCTCTGTTTGACTTTCATCAGTTTATAGATGATGGAGGCTTTTTTCTGCGAACCGGACATCAGCGGTTTCGACTCGTTGCTGTTGAGCAGTTCGCGGAACTTTTGCGCTTTTTCGTACTCGTCGGCGACGATTGGCAGGTCGTCGTACCACGCGAAGAGGTCGTCGCGAATTAGCGAGACGAACTGGTGGAAGCCCTTCTTTTTGACGGATAGCGTGGTCTGGATTTTGCGGTTTAATTCGGCGCACTCCAAGCCGAGCGCTTCTGGCTGCACGCGGTTGCAGGCGACGCCCTGCACGCAGACAATGACGGCCTGGCCGCTGAGCGCCGCGCTGGCGGCGAAGTCTGTCGGTTTGACGAGCAGAAAGGTTTTAGTCATTGTGAAAAATAGTTGGAAAACATTGCAGCTGCACTGGAATAGAAACAGCTTTGTCAGAAATTTTACGCTCGTAAAATCGCGAGGACTTACGAATGACTTCACATCACCCGAGTGCAATGGCTGCTCATTCAAACCACACCGGCCTGCTTGATCACCGATGTGAAGCGTTAGGTAAGTTTAAATGGCGAGCGTCGCGGCCGCGCGGAGTGCTGCGTCGTCGCGTCGGGAAGGCTGTCGCGGGTGCATTTCTTTAGAAAATGATTGTTTGACTGCGGACGGAATTTCGTTCATGGAAGATGCGAACTCGGTTGACAGCCTGGTAGCGAGCTTGTCTGGGTGCGAGAAGACGGCGCTCGACTCGCTCGGCGCGAAGCTGAGCTGCGTCTTCGGCGGCTATCTGAAGTACCCGGAGCTGCTGAACTTCGTGAAAGGCTTGCCGCGGAACTTCGTGGACCAGTGCCACAAGACGCCGGTGATCAATCACAGCTACTTCGTGCGGATGCAGGCGCTGCGTTCGCGCATCTGCGCGTTTCTGCAGGAGCAGGCGCAGCGCGGTTGCGCGCGCGTGACGCTGGTGAACTTGGGCAGCGGCTTGGACCCGCTGAGCCTGTACATCAACTCGGTCGCGAAGCAGTTTCGCTTCGCGTCGGTGCGCTGCGTGGACGTGGACACCGCGCGCATCATCCGCATCAAGGCCAAGTTGATGGCCGAGACAAGCTTTGAGCACATCGAGTATCAGCTGACCGCGCTGGACCTGAACGACACAGCCGCGTTCGAGCAGTTCTTGCGCGGGCTGCGCAGCGCGGACGGCGCGACGCTGTTTCTCGCGGAGTGTTTGCTCTCCTACTTCGACAACCACGTCGCGGGCGCGCTGGTGCGCAGCGCGCTGGCGTTGGAGCGCTCGCACTGGGTGGACTTCGGCGTGTTCAACACGACGGACCGCTTCGGCAGAATGATGGTGATGAATTTCGACTACGTCGGCTCGCCGCTGGGCGTGTCGAAGCAGTGGGTCTCGCTGGACGCGGTGAAGCGCTTTTACGAGGAGCACTTGCCGGACGCCGCGCGGCACAGCGTCGACATCCGGGCGCTCACCGACGTGTACGAGCAAATGCCGGAGGAAGAAAAGAAGCGCGTGGGCGGCATTGAGATGCTCGACGAGGTCGAAGAAGTGCAGCTGAT